AAAAACCCCCAAAAAACCAACAACAACAACAACAAAAAACAAAGGAAAACAAACCCCGGTAAATTCAATTTCCCAAACGTGAAAAAAAACACCTATTTCGTGTTGGTGCTGGTGGGGTCCACGTTTAAGGGGGGGGGGGTCCGGACCCTCCGACCCCCCACCCTCTAGATCCACGCATGAATTTACTGATAATACTTTTCACAGTACCGGTAGTGAGCAAATTCACACTTTTTGAGGCGAATGTTTAAATTGACAAGTCAATTTTAAATTAATTAAAAAAAACCTTTATTTTTTAATTGATGTCATGTTCTTTTTACCTTTCAATTAAATATAGATATAAATGACCTAAACAAAATAAGAACGTTGACTTTGATTTTCTGGTAAGAAACTAAAATCAACTCAGATAATTTACCTGTAAAAAGCAACATTATGCACTCTAGTGACCTCATGATTCAAGTTTTAAAAATAATGACTGTACACTTTCGGCTAGCAGATCATATTTTATAGGTTCGGGAAAACCACTAGATTTAGTCTTGCATTATCTTGAAATTTGTATATATATATAATTTAGCTATTTTAATTAGTTTGGTTTGAGTATTTTAATGCAGTTCTTCACAAATGAGCTTTTTACGCATTAGAAAAAGACAAATTCTTGAGTATACGCATGTTAGTATCATATTGACTTTTAAAAAAGCAACTCAAAGCAAAGATAGTTCAAATATTGCTGTTATAGAGATAATTTTTGAGAAATCTCAAGTATTTACGCTCGATAACCGGGGAGGGGGGGGGAGGGGGGTCACAGTGTTGCTTGAACTTACAACCGTCAGTCTTTAAATCTGATATTCTATAATACCAACTGATCTAGGTGGATGAACCCGCCAAATGTGCAAATATGCAGTGAAAGTCATAGCCCAACATTTTGATATACATGACCACTTCATTTGATTTACTTGATTATACATTTATGCTCTAAACAAGCCAATTTTTTACTTTTATATCTACACCAAAACTTTCTGTATGTAAATTTCCACTCACCGTCGTTCTGAAATCACCAGATACCCGCGATTGTTCTTGTGTTTATTAACGAATCACCACAATCGTTTGTTTAACTCTACCGTTATGCCAACAAAAACATATTTCACATCTACAAACAACAATTGATATTATAAATACTCACAAGTGACATTATTTATCCCCTTTATGAGTAATTTGTATCTGAAATCTTCAGAGCTAGGCCTAGTGGACTACCGCCATTACACCGTGAACAGCTTGTGAAAACTGTTCATAGTATACAGGAAGTGTTTACTATGCGTTTTAATCTCGATACTCTACGGTTAAAAAATGTGTTTTAAATATTTTGAATAAAAAAGTCAATTTTATCTGAAAATATATATATATATATATATATATATATATATATATATATATATATATATATATATATATATATATATATATATATATATATATATATATATATTTGTTTTTCTTTAACATATATATTGTTTGATATTATGATGAGAGAGAGAGAGAGAGAGAGAATTCTATTGTTTATATTCTAAATTAACGATTCTCAATTATATACATGAACATGTATATGGATATTTATAAATGAAAATATGATTAACGTTTGTTTTGATTTACTAGCACTGCACAATACACTGAAAACTTGTAAATTTAAGCAATGTTTTAATTGAAAAAAAAACTCCTGAAAATTTTATTGTTGAATACCAACGAATCGAACATGTGTAACTACAAAGATCAAACGTAGTCATTGATTAAATCTCCTGGCCAGAATTTGTTTTTCACTTTCTGATAAAATATAATATACAAATAAACATCAATTTACATGTTCATTACTCCAATTTGGAAACATAAGAATTAGAAAATCTGTAATCAATGAGTCATCAATTTGTCAAATTTAATAAAATAGTTGAACTGTCTCTTCCCGAAATACTTTCAAAGTGTATCGTATATATAAGACTTTTTTTGAGATTGTATTCCTTATGAAACATTAAAGCTATATATGGCGTACATGTATCTAAGATAAAAATTAAAAATACGAGATTGAGTGTAGATAAACATGATATATGTTATTTACGTTCAAATTAAAATTTTCACCGATTTTGAACTTGAATATCCTCATGTTTCGATAGTTAATTAAATTAACTTTAAACTGTGTCTATTATTTAAATGCGGAGTCGGTAAACAAATCGATTAATATTGTTTAAATTTCTTATATCTTTGAAACGTTATTTATTTAAATTGTGTAATTTACAGGAAAGTCCTATTTTTATATAAAGTAATAAAACAAATAGAAGAATCTTTTTAATTTTAGTTAGTCTTAACTTATAAAAAAAATACGCCATATATGACTTTAAAAAACCGCAGAAAAGATAGGGGGAAAATGAATAGAAAATACTCGTTTCAATCTCGGAAACATAACATTTTCAGTCCAGCAATCACAACACTGCTCTACAAAATTATTAATGTTAAAATAATTAATTTTAAACAGATTGCTAAATCTTACAAAGATAGGAATTTGAATATGTATTTTCATATCATTTTCAATGTGAAGACCATCTTTAAACCAAAATTATCCATATGTAATGACTAATGAGTGTGCAGTCATACACAAATAAAATTATTCAATTTATTTTCTGGTTAAGAGTGGTCTTTAACAACTGTTTTTATAGTCAGAGACGTAGTATTTTTTTTTAAGTGGGGGGGGGGGGGGGGTTTAACCAGGGGAAAAAATTCTAACTTACCTGAAAAAAAGAAAACTATCTCCAAACTCGAGAATGATCTTTCGTGGAGGGTGGGAGGAGGAGGGGGGGTTAGATTCCAACTTTTTTCCCAACGTATTTTTCTGATACATTGCCAAGTTACCATGACTAAATTATGATACAACCAAAAAAGGGGGAGGGGTAAGCAGCTTTTAAACAAACATTTTCGATAGTAAAATGTAATGTAATTGTTTGGAAAAAGGGGGGTGGAGAATGATTTTCATATTAATGGTATTTTGGAGAAAATCGTTCAAGCTTATTTGGAGAGGAAGTTCCAAAAATTTACGGTAGCGTTTTTCGGGTAAATTTTTGGTGATTTGCATTTATTTTTGATTATGTTATTTTTTTAAAGTGAACGTTATACACTTAGTTTCTTATTTCAAACTATAGAGGGGCAACACCCCTCTCACTCCCCATTGTATGCATCATTCTGTTGTTTCAGTAAAGAAAATGCAAATTCTGTTTTCGTCCATATTAACCTCAATGTACAAAACTGAAAATTACTCATCTATTCTAAAATTATCCATGTGTCTGAATAATCGAGTATAATGATATCAAATGTTTTCTTTTTGTAATTTGTTGTAGGAAATGCGAACTGGAATCGTTTAATGTGAAAGATTACCGCAATGAGATACTGTATTTCAGTAAAACAATATTCTTTTAACTTTCCATACCTACTTAACATACATTTTAGCTTTAAGTTTTTGTATTCATCAGAACATAAGTAAATGTATCTGCGTATTCGTGGGAAAAATTTAACACGTTACACTGCATTTGTTTAGAAAACAGGAGGAATAACTCAACTAAAGGGAGGAAAAACAATCATCTCCTACATTTTTAGAGTTATTCCTCTTTGATCAGTGAGCTTGATCCTGCAAACGGTATCGATAATGAAAACATGATTTATAATTTCGTTATTACTGTTACTGTTATTATTTTACTGCATAATCGATTGATTTGCTTTTTCAACAGAATAACATTTTTATCATTTTTATGAGCCTTCTTGTACCCCTACAATTCAAACAGATGTGAGCACTGAGCACGCTCATGACGCTGGTAATGCATGCTTTTCTTGTACTCAATATGCGTTTTTGTCTTCGCCTCCGTGATTTTTCCCTTTGTTCGAAACTGAGCTTCCGTAAAGATTTTGCTCTGATAACGTTTGGCTTGTGAAACACTACATGTGTTACATTTGTCTTTTATCTTGGAACAAATATTTTTTAAAATAATAAATTCTTATCCCTTTCTTATAATATTCATGTCCTTGAATTAATTTCAGTGTCGTCACCATGTTTCTGAAAAGGGGTTGGTGCGAAAGGGGAATTCGAGGAGTACCCCTTCCTCTAAGTTTTTTTCTATACAGGAAAAATTTCCTGGGTTCTTTTGAAAGTCACCTTTAGATATCATCTAACAAACAAAAACAGAAGAATAAAGTATTTATTATCTTTTTAGAAAAGAGGTGGATAAGTACTTTTCATTGAAGAAACACTTTAAAAATTATGCTTTATGTGTATTATTTTTTTCCCACCATTTGGGATTGGCCAAAATTTAAACTATTAATTTCTCTAAAATTTAGAAATTTCATTTCAATTTCTTTTTAAAAAATGATTATCTAAAATATCCTTTGTAGCTGTGACTTGTTTTGTTTTTTTTAAATATATTATCCATAGGTTTTGAAAATATTCACATATAATGTGTTTTATTTTGATAAATATTTTTTTATTTAAAAAAATCAAAATGTCTATCCAGTCTTTCTTTACATATCTTATTAGACATTCATACTATGCATTTATTAACAGCAAATTTTAACTCTATTTGCAAATGAATATATTTTTTTTATTTTCTATCAAAAATTGGAAAAAAATTTCTTACAAAATATCAGCCTTTCAGTGCTGAAACCCAAACTTAACGGGGACGTCTTAAAGATCTGTGAATTAAAATTTTGGTGTGTCAATCCTCCTTAAAAAAATCTGGATCGCTGTTTGAAATTTTGCGTGAACCATATAATTACGATAACTGCATACTCTTAAATCCTTCCTACGTAAAGATTTTTCAAGCTGATCTGAAGACAAAAGTAACAACCAAAAAGGCATTCATATGAATTTCAGTATAGTCAAAAATGAAGAAGAATGGCAGAATATAACCAAAAAAAAAAACCACTTGTATAATCAAATTTATTCTTAATTGTCCGATAAATTCAACTGACGCAGATGATCATGGGTCATCAACACTGAAAGAAAAAGGATGAAGATTATTATTTAGAATTTCATGAAGGGCTTTATTATTTAAAAGTTAATGTGCGGTATCCTTTTTAAAAAAAAATATAAGAATTTAACCCATCACTTACCTCCTTTCACATACAAAGTGATTCAGATAAGAGCAAATTTTATCGTTCCACTTTCCAATAGTGTCAAGATTGGCATATTCTTTGACTAACATTTCTATACAGTTTTCGTTTCCTCCACTTGGTTCATGTACATTCCAGTTCTTGTAAGAAATAGGCTGCCTTGTAGAGGACCAAAGAAAATAACCCTCATGTTGAGCGTCTGTTCCATCAAGCCAGAAATTGTGTTTATATGCCTCTGATTTAAAAATGTCAGTGTGAGCAAGTTTCTACTACCTACTAGTATACCAAATATTACCAAGTACAAAAATGTCTTTAAATTTCTTTTAAAGAAAATTGATTTGTTTATTAAATGTAATACATATTCCAACCAGTGATGCTCTTTGAAGTGTATCCATGTAATTTTTTGGTTTTGTTTTCCAGATAAAGTAGATTGTTTAAAGTCCTCAGATAAATGACATTCGATGTAAAAAAAAAAATCTAAGATTCAAACTTTTATGTTTCAATAGACAACTACTGTAAATTCCTTATTTTACGCGAGTACTTAATATCGCGAAAGGGCTCTTAGACGCCAAATCGCGAGAATAATAATTCGCGAATAGACGGTTTACAATGAGATTTAACATTAATTTCAACACCATAAAAATAAAAGCGAGTAATTTTATTTCGCGAGTGGTGCTCCTCGCGTAATTACGCGTTAATTAATTCCTCGCGTATATTTAGGAATCTACAGTATGTGTCTCTTAAGAGTCCACCATTTCTCATATAAAATTTGCGAATAAAAATCAAAGAGGTGAGTGAAAAAAAAATACAATATGCAGGTTTCTGTCCTTTAAAATAGATGTAATTTCATTTAAGCTTCAATATTTGTCGTATTAATCAGTTATCAGAGCAGGGCGTAATACTTACGAATGTATTCTTTAAGCATACCAGTTACAAAATGATTTTCATCATAGTCATTAATTATCACTAGGTTACTTTGCATGGACCGACATCTTGCCTGTAAAATGGTAGTAAACAGGATTTCTTTGTTATGTTTGCTCGTTGTGACAATGAAAATTAATATTAGAGGTGCAAAACAGAGAGAGAGAGAGAGAGTTACCGATGCCGCCTGCCAGCTGGCACTTTCACTACTTGGATAGTAGCAAGAGTACCTTCCCTTTACCCATCCTTCTGGACAACAGGACTGATATAGACCTATAGAAACACAAATATAAAGTTTGTAATAAATATATTAGATTCGTATCAACTTGTATTGCACAGAGAAATTCATAATACAATTTCACCACAACAACTCGTATGAAATTCTATAAATAATGATCAATCATGATGAAGATTTTTTGTATGCATATATGAATATCATATATCATTATCAGTTGCTCAAAATCAAATATAAAATCTTTATAAGTTTTATCTATCACGATATGTTATACATAACATTTTCTTTTTTCACAATTTAAATATGTAGCTTAGTCAGAGTGATATATTGAAGCATCTTTTCATGTTGGAAATTTATGAAAATTTTATTGAAAATTTTGATAAAGGATAACTAACACATCAATTTTAGCAACAACAAAAAAAATATCCAGAAACTACACAGTACAAATACTTGCTTACATAATTTCCAAGTGAACAAAAGATATATTATACACAAACATATGAAGTTAACGTAGAATACTGATGAAAAATAAAAATTGAAAACATCTGAAAATGTGACGAAAGCTTAAAGTACTCATTATTTTAACGTTTCATTACAAGTAAAGATGCATAATCATGTTTATTATCCCGCTTCAGACAAAATTTGTAAATAGTGATGGACTAAAAAAGATCACATGACACCCTGAAATTTTCTAAAATACTGTCGCCGGGCAGGGTTGATTAAGCATCGGACGCGAGATTCTGTTCTACATGTACTTGAATTGGTTGTAAACAAATGGCGGCAAGCATCCGGTTTGGTGAAATTTATTGTTCATATCTTTAATTGTGATGGTGTTATACTGAAAACATAAGATGTTCAATTATATTTTGAATTTATAACTTTTACTGAAGCCGTTACTCTAGTTTAAATAAACTAAAGGTCTTCGGTGGGACAAATTCGTTACACAGTCGGTTTGAGAATGTTATATATATCCAGGTTGTGAAATGGAATCCGTTCTGGGACTGGGCTTCATCTCTCCCAATACGGATTTCCATTTCACATCCCAGAATGACTGTGTAACCAATTACATTGAACAGCAGGGCAATTGCTAATCAGTTTAGGTATTGCAGATTCCAATTTGTTCAATTCATACCTCCTGGGGTAGGTTTGGACCGCAATAGAAGATCCAAGTTTTTATTATGAGAATCAGTGGGAAAAAAATTGACATATCGACGACATTTTATCAATTAACAATATTCATTTTTTATTAAATTTATATGTTTACTCGCGATATCTCAGTAAATTCGAAGTAAAATCATAAAAAAAGTCTGCCATATCTGATTCATATTTGAATGTTTTACTGATTTTAGACGTTTATGGGAAATAAACATCGAATCTATACGACAAACCGCATGACTTCAGATTTTCTAATCAAACCCACCTATTTATGTAGTAATGTTTCACTATGACCTGCTTATGTTGTTAATGTCTCCAAAATGATTCTGAGTGTAAAGGCATGTCCTAAGTATGATCAATTTTTAAACTGAAGCAGGTTACTGACAAATAAATTGATGTTACAGGGCTCTCAACAGTTTTGTTTATTATAGTCAGCATTTTGCAGTCTATAGTCGTTACATGTATAATAACCTTGTTTTCAAATATATGCACAACTTATCATTGGGTCGAATTTTGACCGACGTGTTTTACATCATATTTTTAAGCAATTGTTTTATACTAATCTTAACTACGTATTTTTTCATTTATCTAATTATACAGAGCTAGAGCTCAAGATGGATGTGGCCGGTCGACAAGAGATGCTTACTCCTCCTATTCACTTGTTCTTCTGGTGTTTCAGGGGTTCGCCTTTTCTTGCTCTGCTTTGCTCGTAATGTTTATAGGATGTTTGAGATTGATCACTGTTCGTTATTTCATCTTTTCCACTTCTCCAGAACAAAGACGCAATAGTATTAGTCACGTCGATATCGAGGCTTCTCCTTAGTTTGATTGAGTCATGACCATATGATAGGGCCACAGTATGGCATCAAAATTTTGAGGGGAATAAGGAGGAATACGATCTTCTAAATATCTTCTTAGGAAGATCAGTAGGGCATAGGTGACGCAGGTGAGCCTTGTGGCCCAAGGGTATCTTCTCTGTTCGAATTATCACATTTAATAAATCACAGATAACATACAGAAGCGTAGTTGTGTTAGCATCGTTCTGTTGGGAGAATCTGATCCATCAAAAATGAACGACATTAAAACCATTGCAGATGTGTGAATTCGAAGTACAACTGCATATACCACAATTTATGAACAACGTTAAAGCCAAAAGCGAGAAATAAAATAAAATATTAGCATTTTTTCACAATACATGTGCAATTAACACAGTATATGTCACATTTAATGGTGTAACATTAAATTAAAGAGAGATGCACTTACCTAGACTTGAAAGAAATACCACACAATGGTACAGGTTTATTTTCCACATTGTCATTCAAATTGATTAGATAAAAACATACTTCTGTATGTATGTAGTGTTATATAATTGTTTGATCTGAAGACCGATAAGAATTTCTGCTATAGATCATATCTAGAACATAAATTGGGCTTTAGACGGAATTACTGTCAGTAAGAAATTTCTATAGCTATTTTGAATGAAAATTGGTAGTGCATAAGATTTAAGAGCGTGTCAAAGCAAAAACGTACAAAATTAAAAAAAAACATGTCCAGGAACAAGGTTAACGAAATAAGTGAAACGGAATTTTTAGGAACTTTGCAATTTAAATCACTAAAAAATGTCTTGATATTTGCAACATTTTGTGTGTAAGTAAATAACTAGGGAATATCTTACAATGTTAATGTGAGATTTTCGCACTTTACTAGGTATTTTGCAAGGTGCCAGTTTGTTCAATTATGCCTGATTGTTAGTCATTATAAATTTGATAAGTCTTTTTCCATGACTATAATTTGTAAAGTAACACCTTAGATTTTTTTTATATAACATCAGTAAAAATTATGGCTTTACTTTACTCAAAAGCAAAAAATTGCTGGGTAAATGATTGCTTTACCCTTTACATTTGTTTCAATTTATTCAATCTTTAGGCGATCTCTCCAATATATTAAATACTCCTCATTAAAATAAATAAACGGAAAATGATATAAAAGTTAGAAGTGAATCATTAATTAAACCATTTTTAACAACAAATAATTATGCTTGTTGATAGAAAATGATAAATTATTGTACTTTTGGTGTTAATTAAGACATAGTTTAGAAACTTTAGCAGCAGCAAACGGTTATTTACTTTCTCCGTTAAAATTTGAAAAATTCCATTTACAGATAACAGTATTATATCATATATACAGGCTGTGAGGGTTACCAGACTTATAATCACTCACTTGTCACTGGAAATAGGAAAAAAAAAACAATTTAAAAAAAAATCTAATACATAATTTCTTCTACTATGCATATTGTTAGTTCTCTGCTGATGACATTCGATTTCTCTTGGCAGGAAGTGCTTTTGACGTTCGTGACTGACAGGTATACTTTTCGGGCGACCATTTTTGAGTCTAAGTTTGATGCTATTAGTCTGTTCATATTGTTCAAACCAACGTCCGATATCAGAATGGCTGACACCCAGCTGCGCACCCATTTAAACTTGTGAACATCCAAATTTAAGCATCTTAATGGCCCTTGTGGCTTCCTCTACTGTCAGATGTCTTCTTTGAGGCATAATATCTTGTTAAAAGGCAAAAAGCAACACAACCTATATTGTACAAATCACAAATCATCAAACAGTGTTCCCTTTGAAGTTTGCCAGTGGGTATTCAAGACTTCCTATATCACAAGAATGTGGAGAATATTAATGCCAAATTTTCAATAACGAAATTCCAGGAAGGGAGTACAAATCAAGGGTGTGTTTGAATAACAATTTATGAACCTGTATGGAAATCCAGAAAAGGCAAAACAAACAAACAAACAAAACAAAAAAAAAGCACACAAAAACAAAAACAAACCCCAAACAAACAAATAAAAATCATAACCAAAAAACCCTCAAACAAGATAAAAGTAATGCTAAAAAACAAAAGAAAAAAGAAACTAAGTAAAATATTCTTGCTGAAGAGAGTGATATTTCTTCAGAAAAATGAATGGAAACTGGCTAGAAAGGACACATAACAAGTGACGCTTTTTATGGTATCCATATTGAATTGATTGAAAAAATAAAGTGAGATTCAAAATACTTGTGGAAGGTAGAACCTCTCCACAAAGTTTCGTAATAATTTGCGAACTTTTTCATGGTTTTACCGTAAAAATGTTCATAAAAGTTATCAGCTCCATGTATTTAAAGATTGTAAGGAATTAATTTGTAAAATATACAGAATAAGATAATAGAATTTATTTTCTTATGACAATTATCTTTCATGAAACATTGGTAATTCAATTCATTAAAACGATACGGTCAGTAACTTTCCTCAGATCTGACGTAAAAAAAAAAATGTAAATCAAAATGATTTACGTACTTCATTCTTTTCTGCATAAAATGCATTGATTGATTGATTGTATTTTGTTTAACGTCCCTCTCGAGAATTTTTCACTCATATGGAGACGCCACCACTTGCCGGTGGAGAGCTGCAAAGTTTGTCCTATACTCGGCACTTACGGCCATTGAGCAGTGAGGGATCTTTTTCGTGCCAGCACCTACTGCGAAACGGGACCTCGGTTTATACGGTCTCATCCGAAGGACCGGTCTCCACGTCCCACAGTGGGATTCGAACCCGCGACGTAAGGATCAACTCCTTACTTCGCGACTCTAGAGCAGACGCTCTAACCACTGCGCCACGCGGGCGACTAAAATGCATTGAAGAAAGGTGAACAGCTAAAATTCAAGTGATACGTACTTTTGCACACTTTTGATAATTTTTACTGAAATTAATAAAATATTTTTGATGTTCGCTAAAAATTACTTTCTCAAGAAGAACATTAATTTCTACACACGAGAATATTATAAACAAAGATTCTTGAATATTTATTATTGTAAAAAAAACAAATGACTACAGGTGTAACATAATGAGAAATAGGTAAATCCTGCTGAATGAAATATGAAGATAATAAAACAATAATGGAGCTCAGAAGTCTATTAAATGATATAAAATATGCTGTAAACATGATTTACCGTCTATTCATACCCCGAATTTTATTACTTTGATTAGATATATAATATATAAATTGTTCATATAATATTTATCACTCATACTAATTCCTGTGTGTGAAGCAGCTGACAGTATTACATGCTATTGCTGTAAGTCAGGGAAAATGAAACATGAGACCATACTGGAAGAAAAATACGTCGTTCATTCTGTGCAATAAATTGGACAAGAATTGGGAACAAATGGAAAGTCAGAGGGTCGATGAAATTTGCATGATAAACTATAAAAAATATCAGTTTTATACAACGTTAAATTTTTTATAATAAGAATTATTCATGGAAAAGGTAATCAGATAATGGCTACTCCATCAATTGTATGCAATTTGATTATTTAATTCATCCTATCCTAAATTTGTCATAATTTCCAAAGAAGCGTCTTTGAAAGGCTTTGCGTATATACTGCCAATTCTTCTAAGCATTACCACGAGATTTTGCAACTTTTAGAGCTTGTATATTTCTTACTCTTGTTACTATTAACTTCCTTCCATAAATCATGCCTTTTGAATTGATAAAGGAAAAAAAATATGCGTAATTTTTGCAGCTATAAAAATCGTGAATAATGCAAAAATCCTTGAAAACACCAGCGTTGGGATCAGGTGCCTAAGAGGAGTGTGCATTCCATGTTGCATATGCATTGAACCCTCTGTATTCTTCAGGTAAATAGAGCAGACTGTACTCGACCATGCTCGACATATATCGAGATGACATGAGAATAACTCTTATCAATGAATAAATCGCCGACGCTGTATTTTAATGTGGAATTGGGGGCGGCTAAAACACGAGTTTCTTCTCATTTAGATCTTTATATAAAAAAATAGGATTGCTAATTAAGTAGCACAGTTATTGTTCAAATCGGAATTTCAGCAGATTGTTGGAAAACGGATCTCTAGGAATGATTGTTCAGTGTTGAAAAGTGATATGTTTTATGTTAGTGATTAGGAGAGAAATGTGATTTTAAATTATCTGGAAGTGCTTTGGATTTTTTGAGAATCAACATATATTTATTTTCAGTTTTTTCAAAATTATTTTGTAGCACAGTATTCCTAAAGTTTCTCCTTCACAGCAGCAAACTAATAAAACGATGAATATGAAAGGATTTTAAATTCTAATAAATTTATTTAGATTTTTAAAAAGTTTATAACAAATAATGCCATTATTTTTTTTTTTATCCCAATAAACTAATAAAACGATGTTGAATATGAAAAGATATTATATTCTAATAATTTTATTTAGATTTTTTGAAAAGTTGATGACAAACAAAGCGATTTATTTTTTGAAATGAATGAAAAAGTAGAATTGTTGCAAAACACCACCATTTGTACTTGAAAATCACAAAAAAAATATCACAGATCGTTGTCACTTAATAGCAAAATGTATATCCAAATTTACTACATGATTATTCATTTTAATTAAAATACTGTATAGCCATTTAAAGAAAAAATCCCAGATGTATAGCATGTTAACTACAATAAATATTGCCGTATTTTTCATAATATTTCAGTAAATTAAAATGTAAATTATATACACTATTGAAGTCTATTTTAAATTTCAGATTGTGGATTCAGTAAGTCGATACAGAAAAAATTAAATTTCATTGTTAGTCTGTAGGTGAATTATGAGAATCTGATGCAAATTTTCATTCACACAGACATTTTATAACCAACCAATTCAGGTTCATTGCCGAACATTCTCAATGATTAAAAAAGTTCATTAAGTATTTTTTAACCATCTGTACCAAATACACGTGTATCAGGTTAATGTTCATCTGGTATACTAGTAACTTCTGTTACAGAAACTCCATTTATTGTTTTTGTTAAAGTAACCAGATATTTGAAAGAAAAAAAAATACTGAAAATTTTGATATAGTCTCTTTTTGACACGGGAGGGAAAGGTGGAGAACTATATTTCCTTAATTTTTTCAATGTTATCAAAAACTACTTTGAAAACATACAAAATTGCACTTTATTTTAAAGTGTAAATAAATATATTCCTTAGATAGATCATATTTGTAATGATTTTTTGTGTATCATTTTTTCTCAAACCCATGTAAATTTTATTCCCTTTATGTAAATAATTATATCGAGTTCCTATCGGTCCAATCGTTGTGCTTATGAAAGAGTATTCTTGAATTTAACCGGGTACATTATCTTAGGTAAGGAATCTATTGTACGTATTTAAAAGCATATTATAACATACTGTATAATATATCGAGGTGTTTAGCTTTATCATAAGTTAATAGCCTATCGTATAATTTTCGACTTTCCTAAAATCAAAACGATATTTTAGCCTTACAAAGACTGCAGGGTCCAGTAAATGTTTTCTCAAGCCCCTCATTACTCCTCTCAAGAGTATTACATGTAATAGATGTGAGGAAGAAACTTCAGACTAACTGTCCTAACTGTACAGGAAATGTTGCAAATCAAATATGGATTTTCAAAAACTCCTAGGAATGTTGAGAAAATTCGAAATAACAGTCCCCCCCAAATCAACAGTATCAAAATATATGATTTTTCACCGCTTTATGCAACCATTCCTCTTAGTAACTTAGAACCCAGGCTTTTTGACATTATACATGTACAACTACTTCTTCAATAAAATTGAACTCAGAAATATTCATATTGTGTGATTAGTCATCTAGAAAATTGCTTTAACAATCACCTGATTTTACGAAAAGGCACTCTGAAGTTGATATTTAAGAGATGCTGAAGTTCCTCATTGATGTATGTAGTGTTGGAGACAGGTTCCAATATACCGTTTTTGTATTCATGTGCATAATTCATGATTTACATTTACACAGGAAGCTACAGCATTCAACATTTAGACAGCGTTTTAACAATTTTTTTCAATATTGAGTTATATTTCATGGATATATCGACTCGATTTATCCCACTGAACTAAAAATGAAAGACATTAAAGATTCTGCCCATCAATTTCACTTTAATATTTACTGAATATAGACGTTTTAGAAAACTAATGACTGAGGTATACAAGAAATTGGATAATTTCATCTTTTCCATCGTCAACTTCCCATATCAACAAATGTACGTAGCAGTATTCCATTATTACCTGCATATAGCGTCAATGTTTCCACCTGATATACTACGAAAGAGTATTTTCTATGTACAATCAATTTTTACACTGAAGCAGACTACTGACGTATCAGTTGAGGGGTTCCAACGGTCTCGTTAAAAGTTAGAAATTCGCAAATTCTATGGTCGTTATAATTACTAGTATATTAATGAAAGTGCAGCATACCATTGGATCGAATTTTGACTGACATGTTTCATAAAATTGTTAAGTTATTGTTTTAATACTTATTTTGACTACCGATTGTCATTTACCTGCTAAAACCGAGGTCTTACGGCTGAGGTGAATAGATGATAATTCCTTTTAGGCACCTGATCATACCTATGGTGTTTCAAGGTGCCCGTGGTTTTATTTTTTATTGCCCTTGTCTCGATTTTGCATTGTTAATATGTTTTATGAGATTGATCATTGCTCATTATCTTCACCATTTTCATCAATACATTTTAGTATCAGTAGGGTTAAAAACAGATTTCATTCAAAAGCATGGTCGTCTACCAAGTTCCACCTGTTTGTCGGTAGAGTGACAACTGGTTATCAAACATCTTTCGCGAGAGACAATTTTTAGCTAGTAAATTGAACTAAAATAATATATTTTGTTTAAAATAGATTTATTCACTTAGTTTTTTTTATATCAAACATGTAAAAAATAAAATGAAAATATGCTGGGATTTTGCAGTTCCATGAAATCAAATTAAAACACGCAACATCATATTACTTACACGAGTTTCCTTTACAAACCATTTCATTCTGACACTGGTGTAAAACATAATATATAGTAGTGCAAGGTATGAAAAGAACAAATTTCTCTCTCTCTCTCTTATATATATATATATATATATATATATATATATATATATATATATATATATATATATATATATATATATATATATATATATATAACTGTATTGCTGTATACAGATTAGGCAGTGAACACTGGACTTCTAATTCCATCGTCTTTTATTCATAATTAAAATGTTATATACAAAAAACATCACTATTGCACAATTTTTCAGTCGGTTATTGGATGTTTTCACATTGACTTGAAACTTCACTAATAATTACATATTCATAACATTGATTTATTTTGGACATCATTTCTAAATGGAAAAACTATTGAACGCGGCTTTCAGCCCTTGATTTATCCTATGATTACTACAATTAGTAAAATTTCTTTATTGCATCGTATATGAAATTTCTCCAAAGTTAAAAGTTCGTGGTGAAAACCACGTTAAAGATATTCAATGTGTCCCTGAACTCTCGATAGAATTCTCCAGGGAATGTGACTCCGAAGACGAAGAGGCTCTGTCGCTTGTTCTAAGTAGTCCTTCCAGCATGTTTGTCGTCTGGGTAAGGGGCGACAAAATAGGCGACGAGCAGTCTTCCTCTGACTGATCAGTTGAAGAAACAAAAGTCACAGGGGAGCATGGATGTGTCTCGGATTGAAATAAGGACACATTAATATCTGAGTCGAATAAATCTAGCAAGAGACTGCATTGTTCAGAATTTAATTCGGACATGGACGAAAGATGATGCTTTGAAAATCCTTCTTGTTCACTCGATAATGTTTCTGTTTGAAAGGGAATCATAAAATGCATTTCATTTTGTTCCATATCTCCAGTAAATTCAGGAGGCTGATTTTTAGTACTGCTGTTCTCTCGATTTACAAGATAATCCTCATATCTAAGGCTTGAGTGCTTCCTTGATGATTTCATTTCCAGCGCCAATGCTCTGCTTGACGGCTCAGTGGAGATCTTGCTTTTATTGCTATTAATTGACAATCTTTTTCTGGTAGAATTTCTTGAAATGTTTTCTAGAGGAGGTGCTATCTTTTTACCATCGCTTTTACTGCCCAGTACCGTGAGTTGATCAAGTGATAAACCTTTAAATTTTTCTTGTGTCCTATGTGGCTGTTGCAAGGTGTTTTTCATCATTCCTTCCACCATCGCATCAAATTCCGGATGATTTCTTTTAGACCCTTTCTTTGTGGTCTCTTGGAAACTTTTTTCTTCGTTTTCTTCGTTTAATTCTAAAAGTTTCATTCCCAATTCTAGTTTCTAAAATGGAAAGGTAAAAAAAGTTTTAAAGAAAATTAAAGCATCCTGAAAAATATGAATTGTCATACAATACCAGTGTCTTTTGCCTATGATCAATATCATTCCTAAAACTACAGAAGTATTATAACTGTAATATTATTCTGTATGACACCATTTCATATCAAGTATTCCACTTGCCGTTCTTTCCATTCTGAAAAATACATTGAACACGATTTCTTGAGTATCAATATCCGAATACCATATGGATATGTCGAAGTGAGTTGGAAGTCCCAATAATTTTTTAGGCGTTTTGATCCCAATATCACAAATTCTCGGACACTTTTTTCTCGGTTCTCGCCCACACTGAGTTGGATTAGTCTATATCTACGTTTGTCTCTTAGACGCGGCGTGGAGAACGAGAAAAGAACTCAGTACCTCCAGACCACGAAGCGAGCGCCCTACCACTAGGCTACTGCGACCGGTCAAAGAGTTCTTTTTGCCACAGAGTAGATATTACGATGAGGTATTATAGTGCAATTATGATGTACAGATCATTCGCAATTTTCAGTCCTGCATTTCTAAAATTTCGAAAATACTTAAACGATACATATGAGTAATTTTTTGAGCTGAAGTTTAGAATGTCATTGTATGATTGAATAGTAGACCCGTTGCAACTTTTAATGGAATATTTGGCCTTGCATTTAGAAATATATTTTAAAGGTTGAATTGATAACATACATGTATGAGAATACTTACAAAGAGTTTTAACAACATTTTGTGGTACTTTGTGTCCATTGCCTTACGTTTGGATTCAACTAAAATGAGCCTAGATGTGTCTTTTTTCAATTCTTTTATGTAATCCACTGATGCTTTCAGAATTGATCCTTTATGCAGTTTCATTGCTCTGAAAATAAGAACAATTTTGAAGGAGAGAACACGTAAGAGCATAAAAAATGGGCAACGCAGGAAGGAGGGATTCATCGAAAAAACAAATTTTGCCTTCTCTCTGAAAATTTTTAAATTCAAAACATCAAATTGTTAAAACAAATTTAATTTTTAAACCGTCCATCTCTGCAATGGAAAAATACAGTCGAGAAGGAAGTTATCTCTAAAAATGAATTTGAAAGACGAAGAACTTTAATTTTTAAAGTGTTAAATTTATTGAAAATAATATCTAAGTATCAACTTGTGAGTCTGCACTTAAATCTATGTACTTTTCTCTCATAATTATTTCTGTTGTAGATGTCCATCTGCAATACTTTTTTTGTCCAATAGATTTTTTTTTCCCGTGATGGCTCCACGTAAAAATTTGCAATGATGCAGTAACCAATGCTTACATCAAATAAAAATTTTTCCTAAATGCACTTTTCGTAGGGTTGATTTCTATATTTCTTATATAAACCAGGGAAAAAGCCAAAGAAACATTACTTAGTTAAAATTGTCCTGAATAAGTTTAAAAATACTCACGGATGAACTGTTGGCGGTAAAAGTGCAGCCAATTCTTGAATTCTATCATTTATTTTGTATCTTCGCCTTCGTTCGACTGGTAAAAAAAATTATAATGTGGCCGTTGATTATATGAAATCATGTGGGACGAGTAAATGCAGTTGTAATGTTTGAAAAAATATTATTTACAAATTCACACAGATGTTTGTTTTCTGTGAAATCGCATATTTTCGTGGGGTCATTTTTTTCTGTAATTTGATGAAAAGATATGGGGATTAAATTTCGTGATTGAAGAAGTGTTAAGTCGTCACACATTTAAAATTTTACATTTTGTGGGGAACATGTAATCGTGGGTCTCTTCACACCACGCAAACTAACCCTTAGCATATATACATTGAATAAATTTAAATGACGTTCATCTATGTAAATATTCATTTAAAATACAATTGCTGGATTATGAATGTTTTGTTATAACTATATATTCTTATTTCATTTCTTCCATTTCTTCCAAGATAACTTAAAAATGAAGTCTAGTTTTGTTTGATTGTTTTAAAAAATCTTGGCACTTTGAATAGTTTTTTTTAATCATTTGAAGACTTTTTATGCTGGTAAAAACACAGTTCTTAATAATGTTTCCACCAACCGCCTGATTTGCACAAGTGTGAATAATGTATAGCTTACTTATGTTATGGTTATCTTTTCTAATTCTCTCTTTCCTCCGCAATTGTTCCTCTTTCTTTGACAGAAATGTAACGGTTTGAGGATTGTCTTTCAAAAGCGATTTGTCCGTAGCTCCGAGAGAACATTTTTGATTGACTTTGCTCTGGAATAAACAAAGGATGAAATTATTTTCATATTCAAAATTAACATCTTTAAAATTGTAAGGATTTTTTCATTCTTACTATTTTATGTACATGAGAAAAAGAATTTATGGGTTAGCATTTATAAAAAAAAAAAAATATAATAGTTATGTGAACACTTCTGTAAAAATAGGTCCCGATCTGATCTACTGACAAGTACTAAAGTTTCTTTTAATCCATACAACACTGAGAAATTTTGTTACTGTATAACCTACTATTGTACATGCCACGGCTTGTTCAATACAATGGAGATCTTCATCATATGACGAATCAGTCTGGACTGAATTTATGACATCACCGATTAGGTGGTCCACCTCAAAAGAGCAAATTATAGAGTGAACGACTTCTTATGTACAGTGTAAACCCGAATAAACAACGATGACCCTCTGTTTTACAACGTTTAATTGGTCTGCAATATTTGTTTCCAGATTTAACAATTACGAAAAAGTGAACAAGTCAATGATGCCCTGCTTTAATAACTCCATGTATTTAATTTAAAAATCAAACTTTTCTAACAACCTTCGTATAAGCATACATTTTAATTTTCATACACAGCATATTAATTCATGCACATCATATTTCAAAACCTGATTTACCTGATCAATACTACATTCTTCTTCGTCTTCCATATCTGTATTAATTTGATGTAGCTCCTGAGATGTTGATTCCTGTGGGCTGTTCTCTAAGTTCTCTATCATTGTTGTAATCACGGACTCCACGTGCTCAGATAAATCAGCAGGAGGTTCACATGCTTCTTCCAAAAATGTCTGGAAATGCAATGTATCCAACTTGCTTCTATTTTCCAATGCACCAAGGTCCTTTTCCTCTTCTGTTGTTTGCTACAAAGTGAATCAAGTATATAAACAATAATTGGTAATTCTACGTACTCATCTTATGTGCATCTCTGCTCAAAATAAAGCAAGTAGAAATATTGATGACCTAGCACTTTGTCCAGTCATGTCTCTTTGCTGCGTAAATATAAAATAGCCTAACAACTTTTACAATTTACAATTATGTTTTGAAGTTATCAAGCAATCGGATTACGCAGGTATGTTAAGGTTTCCCGTAGAATATGACAGTGCACTCTGTGCCTTCACATCTCTGAACTACCAAAATATGACGTCATAATGGAAAATGGCGTCAGGTCACTGCAAACTTGAGGTGTTATGACGGGGAGAGTGTCATGAACTTTACACTTTATTTCAAACTGCATGTAAAATGTTAGATAGCTATTGCAAAATTAACGGGTCGTTAAAGGTTTTTTAAGTCTTGTATGTCCGAATATTTTAAAAATACACCGCTTACCTACCCTTGATTGAAATTCATCATGTTCAAAATGCTTATGAAAAATATACTTTGAAATGTACTCTGTTTTTTACCCGTGGTGGGAGGTAGAATTTATTTTGTGTGTATAAAAGAGTCTGGCGCAGGTGATTAATGAGGATTAATCTGAGAATTTTTGTAGAAATCTGTAAGAAGAGTTTGTTCTCTAACTGAATCTTGCTTGGGAAAAATGTGTGTTGGCTTTGTTTTAATACAGATTACGATATTGTGTGGAAAATACCCTCAAATTTGTAGGTAAGTTGAATTTCTCAGGAAATATTTTGTACCCAAGTAATACTATGACTTTTCCCAAGCACATTTCGGATACACAAGGATACGATGAGTTTATTTATATAACAAAATGTTAATAATTATTGTGTTAATCAGATGCGCCGAAGCGATTTATATGAAACACTTCAAAAAATTATAAATGACCGTCACGTGATCAACAAAGTCATGTGATATCATAACAAATATGCTAATATATAGCCGAGGAAACCCTTTATATAAATTGGAAATACTAAAGTTCAATACTTATAAATTAAAACCAAAACCGACCTCGCAATGACATATTATGTTTTGAGCGCATTTTAAAGCTTCGGGAAGCCTTAACATAGCTGCGTAATTCTGCAAGTAATTACAGTATTCTACGTCACTTGGTAAGTTTTTGTTTAGGGAAGTTTGACAGTCCCCCTCGATGAAACTATACTTTTCTTTCACCTCTACTTCTCTGTGTGTCTGTCCTTTTATCTCTCAGTCAGTCTGTCCCACTTGGATTTCGTAACATTTTTAAGATGCTCTCAACTATTGAGCTGGTCTTTCGTTCCGTTTCGGGGATTTTTGAGGGAATTCAGAATGCTTGTTTAACTTTTATGCTAAAATTGGAGAATCATTGACTTGTAGAACTTCAAACGTCTATGAAATTGAATCTACTCTTTGCGGACTGATTTTTATTATGCAGTCAAAGGGTTCACTCAAAAAGAGAATGCCAGTTCAAATGTTTGAAATTAAAAAAAATGGGGACCAACAATATCTTTATAAAATTTCAATTCGCCTGATAACTATATTCTTTAAATGTGGGTTAGAATTTTGGAAAAAAATATATCATCGAACTACTAGTCCCACTTTAAGTACTCCTTTATGTAGACGACGAGAAGAATACTGGATCAGGAAAATAGGAACGGTACTTCCGTATGGCGGCAACGACCACAATCATTAATAATATAGTGAATCTTTCAAGCCCACGATGTGCCAATTTGAACATGATGAGACTTTATAATACACCTAGACGTAGGCGTAGTCATGGACATATAGATCTTACAGAAGACCTAATTTACATGATGTCTCTTTTGATCCACTTTCACCTTGCGTTAATAAACAATTAGTTCTTGATCATATGCTCACTAAAATTTCCTTGAAATCTGATGTTTTCCTTGAAATCTTTCCTTTGAATGGAGGATTAAAAGAAGCTAGAGCAAGTCCATAATTGTATTCTTCAACAGTAGAACGCAAGCTAGTGTTTGTGATTATGGATGTTGCCAAGCACAGGTTTTTCAAGCCACCACATGTGTCGAATATGGTGTCCGGATAGGGCCATTTGCAAAAGCCCAACAGCGTTCAGAAAAACACGCTGTCGCGAACACAAAACACGCCGTCACGCTAACACACAGCACGCCAATGCGCTAACACATCATTGAACAACACTCCGTCACGCTAACACAAGTTCGCACAACACGCCGTCGTGCTAACACACAACTCGCCGTCGCGCTTTCACAATTAAAGTTGTGTTAGCGAGTTGTGTGACAGCGCGATAGTGTGTTGTGTAAAGTTGCGTCAGCGCGACTGCGTGCTGTGTAACAGCTCGACAGCGTGTTGTGTAAAGTTGTGTTAGCGCAACAGCGTGTTGTTTGAAAGCGTGTTAGCGCGACGGCGCGTTGTGTATAAGCGCGATGACGTGTTTTGCATGATGGAGTGTTGTGTGTTAGCGCGCTGTTGAGCTTTTGCAAATGGTCCTATCCGGACACCATAGTCGAAAGATAATAATTCTGATTCAACCAATCGGTTCCTTATACTTAAATTTGCCAAAAAAAAAAAAAAAAAAGAAACAAGGAATACACAAGAAATACACATGTGAAATATGAAAGCCATAGCTCCAATCAATTAAAAGATATGGCCAAATCCTTTAAAAGTTTTGTGGACAAACAGACAGACGGAAAATGCAAAAACTATATGCCTCCGAATCTTCGATTACAACTTTGAAGAGGTGAAAAAAAGGGGGGTGACAAAGCTCATTATTATAATTATATTTAAGAAGAACTTGGTTTTAATTCAACGTCTTGAAATCTATCTTATACTCACAGTTCACTTTCTAAGAATTGAACGATTGTATGTTGTTTAACGTCCCATTCGAGAATTTTTCACTCATATAGAGACGTCACCATATACCGATAAAGGGCTTCAAATTAAGACCTTTACTCGGTACTTAGGGCCTTTGAGCAGTAAGGGTTCTTTGTCGTGTCAACGCCTACCCTGACACGGGGCCTCGGTTTTTTCGGAATGGTTTCATCGGAATGGTCTCATCTGAAGGACCCGCAACTTTCACTTCAAAGTGCCATGCGCTTGGCGAAGGAACAGTTGCTTCTTATTTTTTTTTTATCGCTTAGTTTAGCCGTGCTTCGAACACACGAACTTCCGATCAACCGACTTAGCTACAGTGACGGTCTCCTCGGTTGTTTAGGTCTCATCCGAAAGAATCTTAACTTTCACTTCAAAGTGCCGAGCGCCGAGTAAAGATCTAAATTTGAAGCCCTTCACCGGTATAAGGTGACTTCCCTGTATGAGTGAACAATTCTCAAACGGGACGTAAAGCAACATTCAATCAGTCAATCAATAAACAACCGAGGCCTGGTCACGGTAGATGCTGGCACGATAAAGATAGCTTACTGCTCAATAGCCAGGAGTGCCGAGTAAAGGTAGAAATTTGAAGCCCTTAACCAGTATATCGTGACTTCTCTATATGAGTGAAAAATTCTCAAACGGGACGTAAAACAACGATCAATCAATCAAGTTTTAGAGACCAGGTCTTTCATCACACTGTTAGAATATACCTATATTAGCCGACCTATATTTATATTCCTATATGAAGCAGAATTCTTTGAAAAAAAAAAATTCTACGTATATGCGAAGAAGAAAACACTATCTGTGGCCTTCAAGTTTCATTCAGATTTATCAACTTAAAATATTTACTTTCATTCATATGTCGTCTGATATATCCAGTGAACTCGAAATAAAAGATGCCACAAACTTTGCCACATCCCTTTCAGATTTGGATGTTTAACTGAGTATAGACGATAAGGGCTAATAACAACTAAATTGTATGATAAACGAGATGACTTCAGCTTTAACATTGTCAGCTTTCCTTATTTATGTTGTGATATTCCGTTATAACTGCATACGATTTTTATGTCCCCTAACTTATTCGATACTCAAGAGAATGCTCATTTTTTGTTTTTGTACTAAATTTGATACGCAATATTCCGTCTATCCGATCAATACATAGGGCTAACGACGGTTGTGACCGGTCGACAGGAGATGCTTACTCTTCTAGGTACCTGATTCCACCTCTGGAATTTCCGGGGGTCCGTTTGTTATGCCCTGTTCACAAATTTGTATTGTATGTATTTTTTTAAGATCGATCACAGTTCGATATCTTCACCCTTTTCATTATTCATATTTATATCTATTCATGATCAAAGTTTTGGATATTTTGCTAAGTACTAAAAGACTACACTGTAAAAGTAAAGGAAGAAAACTCTGGGGAAAAATACTGACTGATGTAAGTGAAACAAATCAAACTTTATACATTTTCAGAAACATTTTTCAGTCTTCCTTTGAAAGAAACTATTATCATTTTATTTTTAAATCAGTTTAAACAAGGCTTAAACATCAATTCAGAAACTGTCAAAACTCTTGTCTGTAAGAGTAAATAAGAATTCACATCTTACATATAATTGTATAAAACTGGTCTTTATATAATATATACTTTTTGTGAATTTCTTTTGGTTTGTTTTTTTTTAATTGATAACAAAAATTTAAAAAAAAAAATACAGAATACAGCCTCTTCACATTTCCACTATTTATAATGATGATGTAATGTGGATTCTTAAAATTTTGACAAATGACCAAAATATTACAGAAGAAAAACAAAATTACAACATAATATTATAACAATATAAAAGTAATTTCATAAGATTATAAAACTCTAATACCGGTTTTGGTTTGAACATCATTATTTAGACATTTCGTATGAAAATATTGTAGCCAGTGATGAATGTATATACTATTTATAAAGCAGTTTGAAAAGAAAAAGATCAATTATAGTCTTGTTAAATTCTCTTAGTTCAGAAGTAGTATCATAATGAATCTTTTTTTTTTTTTTGGATAAAATCACAGGCAAGTGATAGAAGGTTACGAAGACAGATATGATTAACAACTGTTTGCTTTGCGCAGTGTACCG